TCTCTCCTGCAGTAGTGCTTTCCGGGTGTTCCTGGGGGGGGGGGGGGGCACACAACGAGGTCGCATCGAGGGGGAAATTTCGTTGTGGCGGCAGCAAGGGTAAGGTTTCGTTCCGGGGCAACTGCTGCTGCGCGTCACGCGACACGGAGGCTAGCAGTTGGAGCAAAAATTGGCGTACGGGCACTCTTGTTGCACCGCACAAGAAGTGGCTGGATGCTGGGGGGCACGTGGCACGGCGGAGGAAAAAACGACCCTCCACGCGAAACTCGAAATCGTCGGGGGGGGCAGCAACGTGTTTGTCCCGGTTTCATTCAAAGCCTCAAGCAAACCCCCCATTTGTGTTCTCACAACTATAGTAGCACCGGCCGCATCAATGACAAACATCAACCGACCAATACGTGTGATGGCTTCACCCAACGTCTCGCCCTTGCCCACCCGTGTGTTCTTACAAACTACTAGTATACCAATCGGCCGCATCAACTAAAACACTTCCAAGCTGTGTGGGCTCTTCTCTCCCCCTTGCTCAGTCCTCTCGAGGACGCATTATCAACGGTCTAACAACACCTGAGCCATGAAAAACATGAGCGCGCCCCTCCATGCGACTCGCCGAATACCTCACGCCGCTTGGCGCTTGGTGACGTGCGAGCCTGGTCCGCTCAGAACTCGGCGTGCTCCGTCCCGGCTTTGTAGGGGTGCGAGGTCAAACAATCAAACGACTACGGCATGCACGACTATGAGTACCCCCGCCTCCATCCCTTACCGAAGGTCTGGGCGATGTAGTTGGAAGAAACAACGATGGCCAGCTGCAGCGCCGTAGCCTTGAGCCCCATAACGAAGAACGGCAACACGGGAAGGGCTACCCCCAGCCCCACCGCGTCAAGCACGAAAACCGCGTACAGGGGAAGCAGTCTCCGGCTAAGGGCCGCGTCGTCGATGGCCTTCTGGGCCTCCGCAGAAGCCAGGCCGTTACCGCTGCTCCCGCCGTAGCGGTTAGCCCCTGCTGATGCTCGGCTCTCCTCCTGCTGAAGAAGCAAGGGGAGGGGGGCAGCGGCGATGACGCGTTTTGCGTCAATGGCGACGGCGCGTGGTGGGTGTATGTGCGTAAACGCGCTCTGGGTGCGACTGGCGTTGCACCGGGGGGGTGGGAGGGGTGCAGGCGGCAACTCCTGCTGAAGGAGCAAGAGGGGAGGCAGCGGCGATGGCTCTTTTTGCGTGAAAACGTGCTCTGGATACGACTAGCGTTGCATGGGAATGGGGCCGGGCGGAAGGGGTACAGGCCGCGCCTCCTGCAGAAAACGCGCAGAGGTAGCTAGTTGAGCAGGCACCCGTCGAGTAGAACGGCAGAAGCGGCGCCCAAACAGGCCGCGGATACTACAACACCACACGGAGGACGGTGGGACCTTTTTCTACCGCTGGCGAAAGAAGGTAAGCGCGGGCGGGCCTGGGCGCCGGCAAAGCCCACCACATTCCTTTCTTTAAGGGCGCCGTCAATCTCACCAGGTTTCCTTACTGTAAGGGCGCCGTCAAACTCACCTTATCTCTACACTGCTATTATACTACCGTCTACCCTTACCTTAGCCTTCCAAGCCGGTACCCTAGGCTCGGCGTCCGGAGAAGTTTCCGCCAGCCTCATGTGAGGCCTCCTAACCCACGCCTGTCCCACGCGCACCGCCCACTTGCGGGTCGTTCTCAACGGATTTACCTCCGCTACCTGCGGGATAAAGATTGTTGTTGTTGTTGTTGTTGTCTTCGCATTAAAAACCGTTCCGGACTCTGCTCAGTACCTTCCGTACTGGTCTTGTTGTTGTCTTCACATTAAAAACAGTTCGATCTCCGCTCAGCACCTTCTAATACCCGTACTGGTCCGACTGACGCTGACACCTTCCGTGGCCACAGACCAACACCTTTCTAGAACGAGAAAAGGTTGCGGTTCGAAAAAACTCGTGGCTTCGATACCAGAAGGAAAGGGGCCACGGTAGTAAAAACACGGCGGGACCGCATGAAACCTCTTCCTTGGGTATAGAGTAGCAACGTACCCCAAGAGTGACACAAGATATCAATTGCGTAAGATATCACACCCCCTGGACCGATCTTCAAAGCTCGACTTACTCCACACGACGAAGAGGATATCTGCATGAAACGATCGGAAGGCTCTCGACCAGACGGCTACGAAAAACGCCGCATTCTTCGGCACCGTCCCCCTTTTGTCTCTGCTGTGGAGCAATCGAGCTTTAGGAAAAACGTTCTACAGGGGGCGTGATATCTTGTGTCACCTAGGGCAGTCATTCGAAGAGCATCAACCGCTCACCTCCGAGTAAGCCAGGCAGTGGTTGATGTCCAGGTTAGCGTCAACATCGAGGTGCAGCATCCACTCACTCCCCGTGAAGAACAGGTGCACCGGAGACGACCGGCTCCCTCTCTTCAATATGTACGCCAACAAAAGAGGGGAGAAGAGCGGGGGGTCACGCAAGCCGCAGCAGCAGTTGATAGGTATGCATGGATACGGCAGGCGATGGGTTTTCTTCGAAGAAGAGGGACCCTTGGGACGTACTGCCGGTTGCATGAGATATCACACCCCATGGACCGATTTTCAAAGCTCGATTACTCCACGACGAAGAGCATGCCGAGTTCAAATGATGCGTTTTTCGGAAAGCTCTCGACGAGACGGTACCAACCCCACCATTTTCGGCGCCGTCACTGTTTTTCCTGCCGAGATATCGAGCTTCGAAAATCGGTCCAGGGGTTGTGATTCTTTACGCAACCTACGGTAACACACAACATTTATAGAGGGCCCGTGATCACGCACCAAGTGGACGAGACGCAGATGTACGGGCCCCGGGGGTCTGCAACCCCAAGGACTATAGCCCCACCTTTCCCGATTGCATGCTCGATCCAACATTAGGAAACAAAAATGCAAACACAGAAACGTTGTGTCATATTAAGAAAAATAAAAAACACAGAAAGACTTGCTGTTCGAGATGTAACCACAGCAGTCGAACAACATATTTACTTAATAGAAAAACCTGAGAAGGGTACTGACAAGGATACATAAAAAGGATCCAAATCATGACGGGTTTGTTCCTGCTTCTATGCGTGTGTTAAGTTTCAATGCGCGGGATACGGGGATGATTCTTCAGTCACCCAACAAAGCACGCCGCTTGCAGAGAATTCAACGCTTGGCGCCGTGGTTTACGCTCCAACACACCGCTACGTATATTGGCAAGTGGCACACGTTGCGGTGGCCGCCGCCGCGGTGGACGTATTTGAACAAGAAGGCGCAACGTAATGTTGTTCTGCTTGAAGTACAGGGCGGTAAGAACATCACCGATATGCTCCAAAGGAGCAGACCGTAAGAGGTGAACCATTTCATTTTTTTTTGACTTGTCGCGGCCTCGAGCCTCTATGAACGACAGACATTCATCTTGCTGAAGCATTGTCTGTGTTACGTATCTCGATGTTCTTTGTCAACTAAGCGACGTATCTAAGTAGTACTAGTACAACGTATGCATGTGTATCGCCAGATGTTTGAATTACGAAAAAGTCGACGACACGCAGAGGTAATTGAACTACAACGTACAGCCCAACACGGCGACAGCGTGTAGCGAGGTACATATCATATTTTTCCAAATGGACCAGCACAACGGCCGGTTGCAACATAGACTACAAAAAAGCACCCCCCCCGAACTCCTCCCTGCCCTTTTCTACGCCCACCTTGCTGCGCCTCTTGAAGTGCGGCGCGCCGTTGACATCCCACCCCCTGACGTAGACCCCATCAAGGTGCTGCTGCTGAGACGATCTGCCGTTGGTGCTCTCAGCGAAGTCTGCTCCCGAGACTTCTATTGCATCAGGCGCCGCCGAACCCCCGCCGCCGCCGCCGCCCCCCGCAGGCTGGTGACGGGAGGAGTGCTTTCGTCGGCGGTGGCTGTTCGCGCCCCCGGTGATTCTATCCAGGAGCTTGGCAGTCGTGGATACGGCGGGCGTCAATTGGAGTTGTTCTGCGTGTTGTTGTTGTCGTTGCTGCTGGGGGAGCTGCTGCTGTTGTAGGTACGAAGGATGGATTTGTTGTTGAGGGCGCTGGTCCAGGGCTCCCTCTCCCGCTTGGGCGACGCCATAGGTCAGCAGGGCAACCAGGCAGGAAGATAATCGCCTCGTTGGGGCGAACAGCGGTGAATTCTTGGGCGTCATGGCGGGAAGGCGTGTGTGAGTTGATCCTCCTCGGCCCTCTTTGCTCTGCACTCTGCACTCTGCACTGCTGATGAATGACCCACTTTCTCGCCGCCTCGGGGGCTCCGCAGTGTGATAGACCCCCCAGGGTTACGTTGTTGGGTGCGTTTGTGACTCTGCTGGCAGTGCCAAGTGTCACCGCCGGCAATGCAGAGCAGCAGTGGGTAAGCGTGTGCCCGTGCTGAAGGGGATATCACGTGTGTTGCCTCTCTAGCTTTGCTGAGGGGTCAGTGCTCGTTGTGATCCACTGGAGGAACAGAACCGGAGCACACACACACAGCGAGGTGCATTAGGTGCAGCAACAACGTTCCGCCGCCAGTACGCTTGACACAGCAGACAGCAGCAACAGCAGGCTTGCTTATTTACCACCATGAGCGGCGACACGACCATGTACGCTGCGGGCCTGGGCCTGATCATCCCCGTCGTGGGGATCTCCGTGTGTCGGAAGCTGTGGAGCCACGGGCTCCGCGCTGCAAGGGGTCGAGCCGCTCCCGACGGAAAGGGCTTGCTGAACGTCTGGTTCATCGGTCAGGTGTTGGTGCTGGGCGCATCTTGGTAAGGGATGTGGTGGACGTTTTTGGTTGTGGAATAGGGAGTCGCCTTCGCTGCCGGTTGCAGGCTCTTCTGCAGTGAGTAGAGCGAGTAGTGGGTCATCGTGCAATCGAACCCTCCGACGACATGTACACAGGGAACTACAGGAAATGTACTTAAATGACGCATGGTTGACAGCAACCGACTCTGGCGGAAGTAGGCCAGCAGGCACGGACCGCACATTGGGTATGTTTCGAACCGAACACCAGATAAGTACAGCAGCCGCCAACACATAGCACCCATCCGCGTATCGGTGGTTTGTTTTTCAGTCTGTCTTGTCAATCTGTCTGGGTCGTGCACCAATTGGGCGACGAAACTCCGCTGGTGTCCTCCCAGCGTGCGGGGGCAAGCCTGGGTGTCGGTTCGGAGACATCGGATGTCGCAACATGAACACATCCCGTTCGACTGTGGTCATATCTCGGATGGGTAGTCTTTCTGTGTTTGTATTTTCCTAATGATCGCGTGGCGATTCCCTGGTGCCTGGTCACCTAGCGGTGGTGTAGGCTACAGAGTAGCTGTTGTCAGTAGACTACCTTAAACAACGGAGTTTCCCCCCCCTCGTATTGTACATATCCCCCCCCCCCCCATAACCTATTCGGCCTGGAAGCATGGTTTCGTTGATTTAGCCCCGGGGTAGATCGTTTTCGACAAAAAAAAAATCCCCCCGGGTATTTCAATTTCCCCCCGGGGTACCAGTTCCCACGAGTTCCCCCCGAGGGGGATGTATTTCCCTTTTTTTTTGAGTCGATTTTGTTGCATAGCGGAGCAATGTGAACGGAGCTGGCGGGTACTCTCTGGAAGGCGGGCCCTTCTCTTCTTGGAATTACTCGCGGGACGAGACAAACACCCCCAGCTGCTTTCCTCCTTGCTGTCTTTTTTCACTTCGCCTTCGTTGCTCTTGCGTTCCTCCTTAATCTACTTGTTGAACGAACGCCTTATCCATCTCAGTTTCGCCACTCTCTCTGTGTGTGGTGTGGGGACCATCATTATGTTGCACAACCCCCCGGGGGGGGGGGCTTCCCCCCGAGGTAGCGTTGCAAAAAAAAAAAACTAACTCCCCGCGGTACGTCAATTTCCCCCCGGGGGGGTTGGTTTCAGAAAAAAAAAAAATCCCCTCCCCGGGGGGAAAACTCCGTAGTTTACGGTGTTATGATAGCTGCTGCTGGTCCTGTACACCTCGGCGTCGAACTCCAGCCGCGAAAGGCCTGGCAAAACTTGGCAACACCGGCAAACGTGTGCATACAACAACCAACACCCACCTGCTCGCAATGTACTACTTCGTAACTTACGCCTTCTTCCTGCTAAATCTAACTGCGAGGTCGCTATGTTTGTTTGTGCTGTGTCTCCTCATGGTGTACTGGACATGATCAGCTACGCCTTCAACCAAGTGGCCTCCTCCATGCAGACGGAAGCGGAGCATTTCGACCCTTACCACGTGAGTTCTGCCCCTTGGCCAGCAAGCAGAACCGCAGAACCGCCGATTTGTTTGAGAAGCATATTGTTTGTTCATGTTGCACGTGTCTCCAACCTCCCCCGTAAAACGAACGCGCTGTTTCCCAGCTCGGCTGACTGTGAGTGCCATCCCTTCTTTCCTGTACCTGGCGGCGTGAGTATGGATAGCTTCTTCGGGGTACACTCATGCACCGTCCGTGATTGTTTTTTGGTTATTGTACGAAAAACCCTACGGATTCATCTCCATCCATCCACAGGAAAGACTCCTCCGATCTTGTTACTTTTTTGCGGTCGTCGAGATGACGAGGAGCAACAACAGACGGATCGATTAGTCAGTAGCCTTCTAAGGGTTTTTCTATTCATTAAACATGTTGGATGAATCATACGATCGGGGAAGTTGGGTTAGGCTTAGGGAATAGGGTCTGCGTCCCCCCCCCCTGTTCTATATCCTCATAAACCTTTTTATCTCGCGAAGACAGTTCCGAAATAAGCTGTCTCCTTGTCGACCAACGACCACAACTGCTGTCGACTTTTCCTTTTGTTGCCAGATTCTTGACCTGCCTTCGAGAGCCAACGCCACGGTGATCAAGTCGCACTACCGACGGCTCTCCCTGAAGCACCACCCGGACAAGAACCCCGGCAACAGGCGCGAGGCCAACAAGAAGTTCACCCAAGTCGCCAAGGCGTACAAGGTGCGAGGGCAGAGAAGAAGGAGCAGCAGCACTTGCAGAGTGCAGTCGGGTTCCCGCTGTAGTGCGGGCTCTGGGTGTATTGCGACGTGGTCATCATGGTCGATATGCACGTTTTTCGGATTCATGAGAGGGAGATAATAGTAAAATAAGGGTGGGTGTGTTTCGTTTTGTTTTGGGTACTTTGTAATTGTGAGTTGTGGGGACGCAATATAGTGAGTGGTGCCCGCTATAGTGCGGGTAAAAATGGCTGCACGGATGGGATGCAACTCAAGATGGTTAACACATTGAATGGTGGGTGAAGGCGCTTGGTGCATACCCGCACAATAGAGGGCACCCGACTGTGCTCTCGCTCTCTCGCTCGGTCGTCACTCGTCGGCACGGGGAGAGCAGCCCCCCCCCCTGTCCACGGTTGACTTGTACCACGGGGACAGGGTCTGCGCGCGGCAGAAGGGGGCGTTCGGGTTATAGGATTAAAGAGCGTGGTCCTCGGTTGGAACCTCTGCCGAAACGTAAATGTTTCCTCCGTCATGGTTTATGCTACGTGCATGCGGCTTTCCGTCTCTTCTACGATATACACCGCATCATGGAGTCTGGGTACTCGAGTGCGACAACTTCTTTGAGGACGTTTTTAATCCCCCTCCACGACACACATCCCTACGCGCCGGCGGTATATATACATACCCGACGCCCCCCCCCTAACATAACAGGCGCTTAGCGACCCGGAGGCGCGGCGTAACTGGGAGCAGTACGGTCACCCGGACGGGTACCAGCCGTGGACATTCGATCTCGCGCTGCCGGCGTGGCTTCGGCCTGGCAAGGACACGGACAACGGCACGCTGGTGCTCTACGGGCTTGGATACATGGTGAGTCACTGCTGCTGCATTGTATCATTTTTTTTTTACGGGGCTTGGCCACCCCATGACGTGAAACTCCGTCGCACCCCCCCCCCCCCCCCGCGCTTTTGAAACGATCACACGGGCATACGGGACTGCAGGTACTTTTTTTCACAAAAAAATGAATTAATCTCACGCCCGGAAAGGTCGTGCCTTGTTTGTCCTCGAGTGGGGTATCGTAGGCCTGCTGGTGCTGCAACCACGACGATATGGTCGCCTCCGCAACATTAATGATTTTGTAACAACCATGCAGGTTGTGCTGCTAGGCTTCGTGCTGGGCGCCAAGGTCACCCTGGACTTGCTGGACCCTGCCGGGGGCGGCAAACAGCCCGATTTCGAGGTCACCGACGAGGACGTCAAGGTGTGCGCGCGTTCGTGTTCTTATTGGGGATGACCCGGAAATGAATATCTAGATACTTGGTGCCATTTTTCTGTGTTTTTTTGCTGCGCGCCAGCAAAGCCCCCCCACCCCCAACCCTTGGTGATGTGCTCGCCTGGTCCCGTGAAAACCCGGCGTGCTCCGCCCCGGCTTTGTAGGTATGCGAGGTCAGTAGTCAAACGACTACTACGGCATGAACGGCTATGAGTACACCCCCCCGGGCGGTGGGGGTATGGGATGTTGATTGAATACATCGAGAAGGTCCGTGTATGGGCCATGTTCACTTGTTTCTTTTTCCCCAGTGGGTTTGGGCTCTTCTGGCTGGTTTGTTCGTAATTTGGTGTTTTGTCTGTGGCTCGTTTCTTGGATGTTTACGGCTGTGTGGGTCCAGGCCTTGCTGAGCAACCTGGACGACACAAGCTCGACGGCCGACGTGCTGGAGTGCCTCGCCGCCTGCCCGCAGCTGTGCTCCGAGGAGCGCAGGGTCCTGGCGGGAGAGATGGAAGCCATCACCGACCCCCTGCGAGACTGGCTCCTGGAGCGAGAAGGGGGGGCCCCGCCCTTGCGCGGCCCCCGCTCCTCGTCGCCGCCCCCCCCGCCCCAGGCGGCGGCAGCGGCGGCAGCGGCAAAGCCCGCCTCACGGAAGGGGAAGGGGAAAGGGAAAGGGAAAAATGGTTCCGGCAAGAGCAAGGGCGGCGAGAGCCCGGCTTCCGGAGAGGAACAGGCTCCCGCCGCAGCAGCGGGGGCGGGAACGAAGGGCGAGGTGGACGGGGAGTTCTTCACGCAGGGGAGGAGGGGGGAAGGGAACCGCCGTACTGCTCGCGAGAGTCCGGAGCTCTCCCGGGTCGTGGCGCACAACCTCGTGGTGATGCTGAGCGCTCTCCACCGCGCCCCGACGCCCGACGCCGCCGTTGACGGGGGGGTAGCAGTAGCGCCAGGAGGCGGCGAAAATGGAGATGATGGTGATGATGATGAGGGGAGCGCCGGAGGGGTTTCGACCGCAGGAGGCGGTGGCAAGGGTGCCCGGCTTCTGTCCGCCGTCTCCGTGGGCGGAAGGCTTGCCCGGGAGCAGGACCTGGTGTTCGGCCTCGCCGAGCCGCTCCTGGACGCCTGCATGCAGGTCGCGGCGAGGCGTGCGTCGCCCCAGCTGCTGGGCACCGTGGTGGAGACGAAGGCCATGCTGAGGCGCCGGCTGTGGTCGTCGGAGGACCCCGCGGCCCTCAAGCGGCAGCGCGAGGAGGCGGACTTGGACTTGGACGCTGCTGTGCCCAGCATCAAGGTGTGTGAGATGTCGTTGTTGAAGGCGTTTGCTTGTTTTGCCGTACGAAAAGTGCGCTGTCGGTTTGAGTGCTCGGGGCGGCTTCGTGATGCTTGTCAGGCTCTTCTTTTGCTGACGAGAAACATATGTTGTTCTTTTTCTCCCGGTCGTTACCGTTTGTGTTGTGTTTGTCGCACCTGACGTGATTTTCACGGGTCGCTTCTCGCAACAGTTCCTGGCTGGGCACTTGGTTTTAACTGGATGACATCATTCGATTCATACAGAGAGTTTAGAGAATGCTAGTTTTGTGTTAATGGTGCAACATCGTCAAATGCTGTGTATCCCGCTCCGGACATCATTCAGTCTTTCGAGAGACCCTGAACAGTCGCACACAAGCTTCTGTATGGGAGCCAGCGAGCAGTCAAGGGCACGTACTTGCTAGCGCGTCCTAATCGCCGCCACCGTCCTCTCGTCCATCAGGTTAAGAGCGTGGCGGTGGAGACGTGGGGAGAGAGCCAGGTAGCCGTGGGAGACACGGTCACCGCTACGATCACCATCGCCCGAGAGCACGCGCCGGAGTACCAGGGCCTCCGACGCAGGTGTGCTTGCCCCCCCGCCATCTTGACTCCCCTATGTTATGGATTCCCTCCCTTAGCTATGCAGTGTGCACAGCAAAAGCGAATGGTCGTGTACCAAACTGTGCTGAAGACATGGATTCGTTTTTTTCGGTGCTGTTTGTGAAAGCTGACGAGTTTGTGAATGGATGGCGTGCCGTGCCCACGCGCAACCGCCTCAGCCGCCCCCCTCGCTGGCCTTCCCGTGTCGCTTCCTCTCCCTCTGCTGCCCTTCCGCCCCATGGCTGCAAATACCATGTGTTACCACATTTTGGTTTTGATCACGGCGACACCCGGCCTTTGCCTTGTGCCTATCGCTCGTCCCGTTTTTCTCGCTCGGTGTGACGGTATACCGCACCGGGAAATATACCGCGAAACAGGAGGCCGGAGGCTGGGTCCTTGATCGCCAAGGGCGAGCCGTGGTGGGTCATGCTCGCGGGAGGGAAGGGGGGAAGTTCGCTCATCAGAGTGACCCCCATGCTGGTGGAAAACTTGGGCAGCGGCATCGCCGAGTGCAAGGTACACAGCAGCAGGAGCAGCGGCAGGAGCAGCATTTACTAGAAATGGCACCACGAAGTTTTTGTTTTTTGTGTGTTGCCTTGCGTCACTTTTGTTTCGTGCTTCTCCTGTGATGGATTGAATATGCATACATGCGGTGGCGTTTGCGCTGTTGTGAGGGCCCCTCAACTTCTGTTTTTGCCCCTCTCTGTGCTGGATTCAAAAAGAATGAGATCGTTCCGAGCTGTTGCCAGCTACGCGTGCACAAGTGCTTTTGACATGGCAACCAGCTGTCTCAAGTATTGCATTCTTGGGCTCGTTACTCTTGTCACCCGGTCATTGTTCGTCACCCCTCGCATAGCCTGTAGCCTGGGCCGGCGAAAACCCGGCATGTTGCTCCGTCCCTGCATTGTAGGGGATGCGTGGGCAATGGTCTAACGACTACGGCATGCGTTTACGTGAGTAGCCCCCCCCCCCCCACCCCCGCCGCTCGTCTCGTGGAACAAAA